TACTATGTTCACTATTTGGGTGATGGGTTCAGTAGAAGCCCAAATCCTAGCATGACACAATACACCCTGCACATGGACCCCTAAATGTAAAATAACTTTTTTTGATTCAAGGTCTTATTCTGTCACTCAGGCTATAGTGCAGTGGCATGCTCACGTAGCCTTGACCTCCTGGGCTCAGGTGATCCTTCCACGTCAGTCTCCCCAACAGCTGGGACTACAGGTGGGCATCACCACACTGGCTAATTTTTTGTGTGTTTGTTTGTAGAGTCAAGGTATCACTTTGGGCACACAAAATATATTGTGCCCAGTCTGGTCTCAAACTCCTGGGTTCAAGCAATCCTCTCGCCTCAGTGTCCCAAAGTACTGGAATTACAGACATGTGCATCACCATGCCTGGCTACTTTTTTTTTATTTTTTGTAGAGTCAAGGTATTGCTTGACTCTATGCACAAAATATATTGTGCCCAGGCTGGTCTCGAACTCCTGGACTCAAGTAATCCTCTCGCCTCAGCTTCCCAAAATGCTGGGATTACAGAGGCAAGCCACTGCACACAGCTAAAATATTTTTTTTAAATACTCCCATCTCAGTCAGAGCTTAAAGGGAAATGAAGGACATATTATTGAATATTCAAAGATAGAGGAGCCTTGTTATATAGTGGTAGAAAGTTTAGCTGTTTCTTGTCCTCTGGTTATATGGAAAACAAAACTTGTAAATAAACTTGGATTAGGTGAGAAGATTTGCAAGCAAAGGGTTGAAAGGACAGCCTGGTTTTCTTCTTGCTGCTAACAGTAAAAAGCGAGAGAAAAGACAGAGATTGAGAGAAGAGCTGTTAAGCAAAAAAGGATTCTAATTTGGTGACTCAGGGAATCCCCAGTTTATCCAGATTGCAAAAGACAATAAAAGGAGAATTATCATCTGGAAACCCTGCTCTACAATCAAGGTTAAACAACCTTTTGCTAGTATGTTGGAAGGATCAAAAGATCAGAATCAACCACCCAAAGGCCTCTTTGTAGAGTTCAGGAGTGTGATTCATGGATCCCCTTCAACCATCTCAGTAGCAGTCAGGAAAAAAGACAAGATTATCTAGAAAAGGTCAGTGGATAAGCTTCTTGTCGAATAGACGGGAGACCTTCAAAGATCTTGAGACCATCTCACCAACAGAAACACTACCAACATGGACCAAAGGAGACTGAGAGAGGACAAAGGCAAAGAGCGCTGACAACCCACCAAAATTCTGCAAGCCAGAAACAGGCTAATAACATACTCGACAGCAACACATGCTATCGGTCATGAAAAAGGAAGATGTCTCAGAGCAATGAATCACAAACCCAGATGGCAAAGCCAGAACCACAGAGAATTATTTTCAAGACTTGAAACCCAATGGAGTTGAACTCTTGGATTTCAAATTTGTTAGGGACCAGTACCCCTTTCTTCTTTCGATTCCCTCCCTTTTGAAAAGGAAAGTTCCAAAGTATCCTGTTCTTGTCCCACCATTGTATTTTGGAAGCAGATTACTTGGGTTTTTTTTTAGGTCCATAATGGAGAGAATTTTTTTTCCCAAAACAAATAATATCCAGGGTCTCACACATACTCTGATTTAGATTACTTAGATAATGAGATTTGGAAGTTTTCAGCTCAGATTAGAGAAGATTTTAATCTTTGAGCTGTTGCTATAATGGATTAAGACTTTTATGAAGATGGAACAGACATGAATCTTTGGGGGCCAGAAGGCAAACTTTGTGGTAAGCAGAATAATGGCTCCAAAAAATAAAAAATACTTTATCTTTAATGGCAGTAAGGACTCTGCAGATGTGATTAAGTTGCAGATCTTGAGATGTGAAGATTATCCTGGATTGTCAAGGTGAGCATAGTATAATCATAAGGGATAAGGACATAAGGGAAAGGCCTCCTCAGTCAAAGTTGCATTATGAATTACTCTTTCTACCAAAGAAGCTATGACTCCCTCCCAGTTTTTGCAGCCTAGCAGATACCCCAGAGGGAGCTGCTGACACAGAGGACACATACTTAAGAGCGTAGAGCTCCAGCCCGGGAAGGCACACTTGTGGAATGAATGAATTAATAAATGAATAGTAAAGTAAAGCAAGTAGCAAGCATTTTATAGGGTCCTTGGATAGAAGAAAATGTTTATTAATCACCTGCTATGTTTCATGCATAACAGTTGGCCCTGAGGATCTAGAAGTATCTAGGTCAGATTGGCAAGACTCTTGCACTCCTGAAGCTTACAGACAAGCCAAGTTTCCACAGCAACTCTGTTGACAGAGTGTCAGTAGCCTTGCTCAGATCAAGAATGTCATGGACTCTCAACAATGATGAAGCAAACATCACACAATGCAAAAAGAAAAATAGTCCAGTTTTTTCACCATACTCAATTTACATATTTCACCAATTCCTTAGTAAAAAGCAAGTGGAAATTAATATACCCATAGTCTTGTTATATATCAATACATAATATCTGTAGATCTGTTATATATCATTAACAAGGCTTAAGTTATCTACATAGTAAATACGTAAATCTCATTCCATAATGTTGGTTCAGTCCTCCTAAAATAATCCTCTTGTCATCTTCATAAAAGGCTGAGTTAGAAAGAATACTGCCAGGCATTTTCATAGAGAAATATTCAGACTGTCTTACTACTGTATCTGATAAATTCACTCTCCTGCTTAAAACTCTACAAAGGCCCCACTCCTCTGAGAGTAAAGTACAAGGTCATTAATGTGACCTACAGACAAGAGTGATACTTACAAGTTAACGACAAGTACATGACCTCCCACCTATCAGAATGGACACTGGCCATAAATCATCCATACACACAAACCACACATATATCAGCAGAACATCAGTTTGGTCAACAGGGTCCAATGTAACCCAGCCCTTGTCTACCTCTCCAGTCACACACTACCCTTCAACCAAGCTAGATGTCTTTTTGTTGGTTTTTGCCCTAAGACCTTTATATATACAATTTCTTTGCCCAGAATGCTCTGATCCCCCGCCCTACTTACATCAGGCTTTCTATTAATTGTTTTAAGTCTCTGCTGACATACCACTTTGCTATGTTCTGAATATCTGTGTTCCTTCAAAATTCAACTTGAAACTTAATCTCCAGTGCAACAGTAAGTGATGAGGGTTCTGCCCTTGTGAAGGAACTAGTGTCCTTATAAAGGGCTTGGGGGAAATAGCTAGACTTGTTTGGTTGGTTGGTTGGTTGGTTGGTTGGTTGGTTGGTTGGTTGGTTGGTTGGTTGGTTTTTGCCCCCCATCATATGAGGACACAGCATCCATCTCTTCCAGAGGACTTAGTAACAAGATGTTATCCTGGAAGCAAAGAGAGCCAATTCTCACCAGAAACAAAACCTGCAGATGCCTTTATCTTGGACTTCCCAGCCACCAGAATTGTGAGAAACAAATTCTTGCTGTTTATAAATTACCCAGTTTATGATATTCTCTTATAACAGCACAAACAAGCTAAGACACACCATTTCAAGGTAGCCTTTCCCTGACTACCACCATCTCCCACCCCAATTAAATCAGAAATCCTTGTACTACTTGTAATTTGTCAGGTTATACATCCCTTCATTGTCAGCATAGCAACTGTAATTCAAAAATACTTGTGTAATGACTGTTGCCCTCATTATATTTCAGAGTGGGAGCCAGATCTATCTTACTTACTCTTAGTGGTAACCCAGTTATTAGTATTTTGCCTCGTATACAGCAAGAATTCCATAATAATAACTAGTACTTATTAAGCATTTGCTGTGTACCAGGCACTGTTTCAATCACTTTAATAGATTAGCACCTCTAATCCATGTAATAACCCCATGAGATATGGAATATTATTTCAGATGAGGATACTGAGGCACAGAAAGGATAAGTAGCTGCCCAAAGTTTCCAAGTCAGCAAGTGGCAAGGTTGGAATTTGAACCCAGGCAATAGGACTCCAGAGTACACATGCTATGGTTTGAATATGTAGTCCCTCTAAAACTCATTTTGAAATTTAATCCCCAATGTGGCAGTATTGAAAGGTGGAACTTTTACTGGGTGATTGGGTCATGCAAGCTCTGCCCTTATAAGTGGATTAGTCCATTTATGGATTAATGAGTTATTCCATTAATATGGTATATAATTAACATATAAATATGTATGCATGTATATGTGTGTGTGTGTGTATATATATATATACACACATGTATATAATCATTAATATAATGAAGAAATGGGACTCATGATTTCCAAGAACAGGGAAAGAGACATGAACTCATATACTCAGCCTCCTCACCATGTAATGCCCTGAGCTGCCTTGGGACTCTGTGTAGCTTCCCCACCAGCAAGATGGCCCTTACCAGATGCAACCCCTCAACCTTGGACTTATCAGCCCCCATAACCACAAGAAATAAATTTGTGTTATTTAAAAATTACTCAGTTTCAAGTATTCTGTTATAAATAACAATAAATGGACTAAGATACTATGCTTCTAAGAACCACACTGCACTGCCTCTATAAATGCTTATTGAATAATTTAGTGAATTGTAGACAAGTTTATAATGAACAGAATCAAGAAACTATACCCCAAAAAGAATGTAGCCATAAGACATCCTCTGTGCTCACAGCCTACCCATTAGATGAAAGATACAGATACAGATATAAGTATAGGTATAGGTAAAAATATAGGTAATAGCTAATGAAATATCCTGTAACAATAATATGGCCGGCGACTTTTAAGGTTTTACAAATTCATTTTACTTTAGATCCCCATCAAAATCATCAAGAAATATTTTACTTCCAAACCAAACAGTTTACCATCATGCCCTCTAATATCTTCCTCCTATCTTCAGAATACCCCTGCACATCTGAACATTCAGGATAATACCACAAGAAAAATAGCAAAGGTGATCCCTAGACAAATACACACCAGATGAGCACTCTCCAGACAAACTCTCCCCCCACCCAATCTCTGCCCCCATCAAAGAAGGAGGTACCTTTACCTTGAAATAAAAATGCTTTGCTGGCATTGTGCATTCCAGACACCTGAGTGACTCCAATGGTGGTGTTCACAAGGTCAAACTCAGAGATAATATCCATCTGAAGGTCAGGATCCATCCCAAAGCCTACCACTGGAAAGAAAGACAGAGCTGTTATGGCTTAAAGCGCAGACTACTAGTAGCAATATGGGGCAGAGATTCCAGGGGCAGGGAAAGGCAGGGAATTCAAGGAAGTGAATGATGAGTGCTTCAAGAGTCTCTCTTCCTGAAAGGAAAAGGAAAGCAACTCTTTGCCCCACCACCCTATTGACATTTTATTTTTTACACCTTTCCTCACCCCCACTTTTCATTATAGATTGATAGTCTCCTATCTAAAACCCCTGGACAACATTTCAAGATTCAGAATGGGTCATATGTTAGAAAGGGAAGAGGGCCAATATACTACATTTTATGTAACACCTTCAGCGTAAAGTCTAAATCGGCACCCCACAATCAAATACAATATTTTTAGAGCAAAAAGTATGACATATTTCTCTCATTGGCATAAATAAAGCTTAGGTCAGTTTAGGTCAAATTTTGTCATGAAATGAGTTCAACTCAGGATAGGTTCTGCTGTCAGGTGAATTATGAAAAAAACATAGAGTTTTCAAGCTTTTTTAAATTTGAGGACTGTGCATACAAAATTGTGGCCCTGATCTACCTGCCTCAGAGACAGATGTAGAAAAGTCTGGCAACACCACCACTGCCAGTAGACATTTCCACAGAGTGTTCCCTAATTAACCAGGCATACCCACCTGTCATAAGGAGGAAGCAAATAGAGAGGGACCCTAGTCCCTGTCAGAGAAGGGTGGCAGAGGGACTGACCAGGAAGGAGAACTCCTGGAAAAATGGATGTATATTTCCATCCATGTCTGGATGGAAAGCTAGATACCCATACAACTCTTGTGAGAGAACCTCAGTGCAGAGAAACATGGCCCTGAGCCTCCTACTCCCTTGTCTGAGAAAGACAAATCCTTTAGGATGTCTCTCACCCAGGGGTGTACTGTGGAGTTATTCTTCCATGAGGGCAAAGTGACTTCCAACCACCTATAGTAATAAGGCTACAGATCACTCTAAGGGACTGTGTTTAATCCATTCATAAAGGCTGTGTCTATCTACACTTAGCATCTCAATAGTGCAGTTCTGATTGCGCAGTTGGAAATGTTTTAATCAGCAACAGCTGTCAACTTTCGTCTGATGGTAATGCAGTCACTGAGGCAAGATTTGGAGAGCTTTCTCCCACTGAGTGATGTGCATCAGGGCATCACGAGTTCTTCCCACCTCATCTGTCCCCCCACCTTCACTCCAGGCCCTACAGACTTGAGGAAGAAAACCTGCCTTCCGGTTAGGAAGCAGAAACCAGTGCAGTAATTTAGGCTTCTGTCAGCAGATGTTGGTCAGAAAGACCTCTTTGGAGCTGAAACCTGTCATTGCCAAGGCAGATAAAAGGTTAAGTTGAAGGCATAGTATATATAACTGCCTTCTCATTTTTTTCTATTTTATTTATTTATTTGTTTATTTTTAGTTGGAGTCTCACTCTGTCACCCAGGCTGGATTACAGTGGCATGATCACAGCTCACCACAGCCTCCACCCCTTGGGCTCAGATGATCCTTCTGCCTCAACCTCCCAAGTAGCTGGGACTACAGGGGCACATCACCCCGCCTGGCTTTTTTTCTTTTCTTTTTTTTTTTCCTTTTTTTTTTGTAGAGACAAGTTCTCCTGGTCTCAAGCAATCTTCCCACCTCAGCTTCTCACGGTGCTGGGATTACAGGTATGAGTCACTGCACCCAGCAACTGCCTTCTCAGTTTTTGTCAGGCTTCCCTTTGTCCCCAGAACTGAAGGTTTAAGTTGCCCCCTTCCAAATGTAGCCAGTTATGGGACCAGTTTACCCAAAGACAACTCTTCCTTCCATTCATTCTGCATTCATTCATTCATTTAGTAATTTTTTTCAGCAGATATTACTACTGCTTACTACATAACATACACAATGCTAAGCACTGAAGATGGACTCACAGGGCTTGCATTCCTGGGGCAGGGAGAGGTGGGGAGATGACAAAAAGCAAACAAGTAAACAAATAAATAAGATAATTTGAGATGACAATACATGCTGTGAAGAAAATAAAACAGAGTGATGGGATGTAAAGTAACTTGAACGGGGTGGGGGGCCTACTTTAGAAAGGAAAGTTGGGGGAGGTTCTTTTGAGCTGAAACCTGGATGACTCACTGAGGCAAGATGAGGTGGGAAGAAGCTTTCCACATGCACAGAGCAGTCCATGCAAACCAGGAACAAACTTGGAGTGTTCAAGGAACAGAGGCTATGATGGCTGGAACAGAATAGGGTGGGCAGGAGTAGCAGAAAATGAGGCCGGGAATAGGCGCAAGTCAGACCCACAAGGAGTTGGGATGTTATTCTAATGCTGATGAGATATCACTGGAGGGTTTTAGGGTTTATGATTCAGGAGAAGAGAGATGTGATATGCTCTTACATTTTAAATGTGGCCTAACTTTAAGTTTCCATCCTACCTGCCTGACAGTGCTCATCTCACAAACCCAATTCACAAAGGCTATCAAGTGCCTACTCTGTGCAGAGAAGGGCTGAGCTAGGTGGGCTTCAGAGGCAAGAGCCTTCAGAGGCAAGAGTGAGACAGGTGGTGTTTTTCTCCAAGTGAGTTCAGATGCCAGCCGTTCTGTGATCACCTTGAAAAGACAGGCAAGGAACTCATATTTCAGTTTGATCTATAGTGTTCTACATCTATACGGCAGAATTTAAATCTCACAGGAGAGCCAAGCTGGTCTTTCTCAGTCCAGTAATTTGGAAAGTGGTCTAGGAAATGTGTTCTTAGCTGGATGCAAGAAGAGAGGAAGCATCCCTTTGACTCCAGTAACTTGCACAGGTTCTGAATTTAGGGACTGACTAATGACCTCATGAGTTGGTGCATGATCAATGTTTTGGATGCAATGACCTCAGGACAATCTATACACCTGGGGATGCCATGAGAGGACAGGAGAGCGTGCAGGCTAAGGAAAATTTCTAAAAGGAACTATGGCTAACTGAATAATTAACCTCAAATCTTTACCCTTCCCATATCTGCAACCTTTGGTATGTGGCTTTGCAGCTCTCTCCACTATCAGGAGAGTGAAGTTCCCCATCTCTTGAATTTGAGCTCAGCTGTATAACTTGTTTTGGCCTTCAGGATGTTAGTGACATTACACAAGCAGAGGCATCAATATGCTTGCACGATGGGGCTTGTTCACTTGTCCTTCTACATCCTGATGAGAAGAACGGGGTCCTGCTGGCCCACTGATCCAAGAAGACTGAGACAGGTGGAACAAGCAGCCTACCTGAGTTTGGAATCAAGCTTTATCAAACCCAGACTAGATAAGTCAACACCAATCCAACCTACAGACAACCATAATCAATGACTGTAGCTTCAAGCCACTGAGTTTTGAGTTGTTTGTTATGCAACATAATTGTGGCAATATTGACCAATGCTTAAAGACTTTCTATTATGGTCATCCTTAAGACATTCAAATCTCCCAGACTAGGGGCCTTGCAATTGGACAAGCCTAAAAAGACCCAGACTCTGCAGAACTGGTAGAACATCCAGTTATATCCTTTGGAGTCCTCACCTCCAAATGAGAGCATAGCACCCTCAATACAGAAAGTGTTGCTTCCACAACACTAAGCTGAGAGCCAATTTCAGTCCAGTCTCTTCCCCTACTAACTTTGTACTCTTGGGAAAATCATTTCACTTACCAGAGCCTCAGTTTCCTCAGTCATAAAATGGGAATGTCTCCCAGACTCGTGAGGTCTCACAGGTAACTAAAAGAGGGAGAACCCAAAAAAGCCTGGAATTTATTTATAGAAAATTATGTGTTTATTCTTATATGTCTAATCCTCAGTCACCTACAAAGTACTCTCCATCTGATGCAATGCTCCTATTGAGATGCTTTTTCCACTGCTCAAAACAGTTTTTGAACTCGTCCATTTTGATGTCTTTTAGTGCTTCTGCCATTTTTGGTTTCACCTTTTCCACATTGGAAAAACATTTCCCTTTGAGAACTTTTTTCATCCAGGGAAGCAAAAAACATTCTGGGGTAACATCGGCAGATTAGGGAGGATGAGGCACAGGAGTCATGCCAGACTGGGTCCAAAATGCTGAACACTCAGTGCGGTGTGGGCAAGGGCATTGTCATGGTGAAAGAACCAGTCACCTGTTTGCCACAACTCAGAGTGCTTCTTCCACAAATCATGATGCAATCTTCTCAGAACTTCCAGATAAAAACTGTGGTTGATCCAGGAGAACAAATTCCGAATGTACTATTGCCCTCCAAAAAGATAATTCTGGGTTTTTTGTTGATCCTCCCTCGTATCAACACTCCCACACCTCAGTCAGGTCTACAGTTGGTGTCCAGCTAGGGTTTGCTTCATCTGTTTTAGATAAGACTAGTTCTGCAGGCCACTAGTTCTGCAGTCCTCGAGTCCACTGCAATCATACTAAAGATACAGATGGCCTCCTTCCTCCAACCCCTCTCCACCTTCTTGACCTAGAAAAGTCTCTCCCCCGGGCTTGTCTGTAAAATCCATATATTAAATCTATATTCACCCCCCCCACACACACACACACAACTCACAAGTGAAGGGGCTTCTCTGACTTTAAGAGCACTGCATCACTCTTATTATGAAATCATCCCATAAAGACTAGAGAAAAGAAATCAATTAAGCTTCTGAATACAGTTTTCTTCTCTCCTTTTAATTGGTCGCCTTCAGGATGAAAATGCCTCGTGCCAATAGCATGGTGTGTAAAGAATAGCACTTTGCACACAGCCTAGGGAATCAGAAATCCTATTAATAAGGCAGCATGTCCATGGCCTCTCCTGAACCTTATGTAGTATGAGTGTTGATTCCATAAAAAAAATTTTTTTATTTTAATGTTTCTGCTTCTTGTCCAAGCATGGCACGCCTGCCCTTTCCTAGGAAACGCTATTAAAGTTTTCCACTTTGGACATAATGGTTCTACAAATGGCTGAAGCTGGAAATTAGAATTAAGCAAGAGAAAAAGCTCCTGGGGAGGAAATAGTCTAAAAACCTTGGGGGCAGCACGTCAATGTCACAGAGGCACTTGAGACCAGACCCTGGGATTCAGAACTTCCACCCTAGTCAGAGTGTCTGCTGCTGCTGCTGGTCACCAGGAAAACAAAAAGTATCACTTGGGGTAACATCAGGGGATTAGGAAGGATGGGGCACGAGGGTCCAAAAATGTTGAACACTCAGTGCAGTGTGGGCAAGGGCACTGTCATGGCGAAAGAACCAGTCACCTGTTTGCCACAACTCAGGATGCTTCTTCCACAAATCATGGCTCAACCTTCTCAAAACTTCCAGATAAAAACTTTGGTTGACTGTTTGACAATGATATTTATTGTTGTTATTGATAAGTAATGGCGAATGTTTTAAACACAAATTACATGCTAAGTCCTTACAGAGAAATGATTTGATCTAAAGTCACAACACTCCTTTGCAGTATGTGTTATTACTGCTCTCTACAGGGCAGATGAGGAAACTGAGGCAGCACATCTCTTCCTCAAGGTCATAGAGTGTGTGCAGAATAGAGCCACACGGCCTCATCCTGGGGGGAGTGAGCAGGAGGCATGGATCTGGGGAAGGCATACTTGTTTTTGGCCCCACCTAGGGAGTGCTGGGGCAGGGGGGACGAAGTCCATGCAGTTCACCTTTGGGGTCCTGGGCCTATGCTCCCAAGCAAATCATTCTAAAAGTCTGGCTCACTTCAAATCCAATCCAGCTCATTGTCCATGGCAGAAGCTGTTTTCCTCTCGTCCGTGCAGAGTAAAATGATGCTAGAAAGATGCTCCAAGACCTCATTTAACCACAGGATTTCACAACCACTTAATCAGACTTGGGCCCCTGGGTACCTACAAAGGTTCTTAATACCCCAAAAGCAATTTTCTTGAAGAATATGCTCTATGCCTATTTGAAGTCGGCCAATATTTTACATGATCAATGGAGGCTGGGGGCCACGTTCACAGCTCCATTATTCAATTCATAATTAATGAACCGCCTGGGAGTGACTTCAAAAAGAAAATCTCTCCTTTCCAGCAGGCGGCAGCAGAGGGCATTCTCTCCTTGCCTGGGGCTTTGAAGTCACAGGTACTCCCTTCCCCCTAGCCTGGTGACCAAAACAAAGTGGAAAGCAATGAAGGGACTCTCACTGAGTGTTACGTTAGTTACACCTCCAAAACATTGGAGATCATGTGTTATCACTGCTATTATGGCCTCCTAAATTTTCATTATCAGCGGTATACTGGGATATCCAGAATTATTTTTCAACCCCCAATTTCAAGAACTGTAGAACAACGCCTCCTATCTTGACTCCACTTTCTACACTTAAAAAAAAGTTCTCTCAACAAGGAGCAACTTAAGCGCTTCTTATGACATCTATCATTAGATCTTTTCATAGGTAACGGTTTCTGCATTGCAGTCTTGCTTTAATTAAAATATGTCTGATATCATCTATTCATTTCCATTAAAAGGAGGTGATATCTGAGCAGCCACTAAGTGAACCGCATGTTTATTTCATCTAGGACTGTTAACAGCCCAGACAACAATTGTCCCACTTGACAAAAAAAAAAAAAATTCCAAGTGGCTGTTTGGATCCCGATAAGCTAATCACAGGCCAGCTTTTGCTACCTAAGAAGAGGATAGATGTTTGACATGGAAATGGTGGTTTGGGGGCAAAATCAATGGGGCTGCCCCAGAAAGCTACTACAGACAGCCCCTCAGAGCCACAAGAAATGTCAAGTGAGCAGACAGAGAGAACGAACACCCCCCC